TGTTTATATATATGTCTATCATCGTAAATGTCTGTTCGTAAATTTAGCTTGTGTACATATTTTGCACTGACAAAAGAGTTTAATTATTTTGTTGACAAAAGTTAACTTTTGCGCCTTGTTTTGTTGACGCTACGCATTTTGCTATAGTGCTGTGGAATGCTGAATTTAGAGACTTCGGATGTAGACGAGTATATGTACATACTTAGATAAGCGAGACTGAAGGTGCTTGGGATAATAAACAAACACGCGCCAAATCCAAATGTCAACAGAGTTGGCCCCCAGAGCGAGACACACGCCCCCCATCCCCCTCACAACAGTGCAATTGTTGCACACCCAACAGTTTTTGCCAATTTGGGAAATTTTCACATTCCATACATTCCGCAGCAGAAAAAAAAAACAGAGAAAAAGATATAAATATATCCAATAACTAATTAACAATACAAATAAGCCAAGGCAGAATACAGACACACACACACACACACAAGCACGCACATGTGTGTGTGAGTCTGTGTCTGTGAGGCAGAGAGAGAGAGAGAGGGGGATTTTTGATGCGTTATTAAGCGGCTCGTTGAATGCGACGCTATTGGAATTTTTAATTGTTTAATTGCGGTCAAATTTTTGCTTGCTTGACTTGAAAGACAATATACCGAATTTTCGACATTTTTATGAGCTATTATGAGCATTAGACAATCATAGGTAATACGAAAATCACATCAGACAAATGCCTGAAGCACGGACAGTTCGTTGTGTAAAGAGAGCAGAAGATACATAGCTCTCTCTGTCAGTTAGTTTGACAGAAATGTTTACAGCGCTGCTGTTGATTACATGGCCTCTGTTAAGCTGTATGTTAATGGCGCATGTAAGAGCCTATTTTTAGTTAGTTTCTCTATTACACTCAAACGACATTAAAAATCATCGTTAAAATGCGTGAGATTGTGCGACTGTCCGTGTTCGTGTGTGTGTGTGTGTGGGGGAGTCGCGTGCGCCTGTAAAAAGCATAAGAAATTGGCCATCAAAATGCAAGGCAAGTGCAAAAACAAATAAAATACATAACAGAAATGCCACTCGCAGGCCAAAGAGACTAGCGCAAACAGAGAGTCCGAGTGCGAGAGCAAGCTCTCTCTCACACACACACACACACATGCAGAGGTGATCTCGCTCGCTCGTTTGCCTCACTGGGCAGAAGATAAAAATAGTATTAGTTGCTGATTATTATTGCAAAAATGCGCATTCCTCGGCGACTTATCCCCTAAAGGCGGCTGCTGCTCCACTCTACGCGCGCTCCGTGTTTTCGTTTCGTTTTCCCTTTTTTCATGCACACACACACACACACACACACACTTACACTCGCACACAAACATACATACATACATATGTACGTGTGCAGTTGCAGCAGGCATGTTTCAAAATGTGTGGAAAAAGAGAAGAAAATAAGAAAAAAAATTGAAGCAAGAAGCAAGAAAAACGAGCTAAATTGCATTTTCGTCGTCGTCGTCGACGTTGTCGCTCGCCGATTGCAACTTGCAGCAGCCAGCGACGACGACGTCGCAAACAGTGGCGCGCTTCTAGGCCCCCCCCCCCCCCCCCCCCCCTCTCTAAGTCTGAATGCGCTGCCTGCCATCAATGGCCAAACGCCCACCCAGCGTCGCGCGCTGCCCCCTTCACCCTAACACAACACACAAACTAGCCGCAGCAGCAGCAGCAGCAGCAGACTGGCCCCGGCTTGAATTGGCTTGGCCAGGCCTGGTCACTTTTTATCGTTCATTTACTTTTAAAAAGCAGCAGCAGAAACAACAACAACAACAACAGATCACTGTATTTATTGCCCTGCTCATGCCTGGACTCTGTGTAAGTGTGTGCGCGTGTGTTTTTGGAATGCACACGATCACATAGACAACGCCTCACCTGTTTAGTCGCTGCCTGCAGGCGGAGCAGCCCACAAAAGCAGCAGCAACACACACACGTACACAGGCACACACACACACACACACACACACACATTAATCCAGTACGAATTGCATGCTGGAATGTGAATGGAATCTCAACAATTTTCAGCGTCGCTGACGTTGACGCCGCTGACGTCGTCGTCGTCGTTTGGCGCAACATTTTGCACGTCAAGCCGAAAAAAATTAAATATAAATAAATCATGTAAAAAGCAACAACATACAATTGCAACATTCAACATTTCAAATGCACACATGCAAATACATACGCTTATGTATGTCACACTCTTAACAGAGCCCAAACACAAATAAGCTGCTTGAGAAATTATTGTCGCACTGACATTGAGGCGAATTTCTCAGCAGCAGCGGCAGCGGCAGCGGCAGAGGCAGCGCAGTAGCTGCGTCGTCGCTGATGCCTCTAATTACAAGCGCACCCGCAGTTGTTACTCTTCTTCTTCTTCTTCTTGCTGTTGTTGTTGTTGTTGTTGCTGTTGTCTTGCAGTTACTTGTGCCACATTTTGCATCTCGCATATTTACATTTACATTGCAAATACATTGTTTTTTTCTCTTTATGTTCACAACCATAGGGGTATTCCCTTAAGTCGCACAAGTTATTTTGCCAAGCGTAATCGCATACGGTAACACTTGAAATGAATCTCAAATAAATATAAATTGTTCAGGTATTCGCAGTGGGACCAAAATTGGAACTGTGTACAACTTAAACACCTTCAATATATCAATTTTTAGATTGAAGTTCTATTTTTATCTCTCAATAGAAATAGTAAAATTAGAAAAGTTTCAGTTTTAAAGGTACATTTCAGAAATATTACAAATTTACCAATTTAAACGAAAATTGTTCCACTTTGCGAATCACAATCACGTTATTTATTTTAAGCGTTATGTGCAACATTTACTGCCTACTTTTGATAATTTTTATTTGCGCTAAAAGATAAGAGTGCAACAATTTCTGTTGACATTTTTGTATTCAAATTGTTTTTCTTTATTCAACTTAGATCACATTTCAGGTTCCCTGTATAAACAGATTCACCTGCCGTATAATTGCGCTACCAAATGATACACTCAGGTATACATATATTGGATGACAGCAAACTGATTGTTTTCCCAGCTTGTTCTACTGTTTATGTTGTCACTGTTTATGAAGAAACCCAACATATCGAATGAACAGTTGTTTAATAGCTCATTATTTCCCATTGTAGCGAAGGCAATTGTCTATATTGGTTCATTTAAGCTACCAGAAGTATCAAAACTCTTTCGACAAATACCAGAACATAGCTAAATGTTACGATTCGTTGCAGCTGTAGCTGTTATCGATAATACTTTGAAACATGTATAAAATATGTGAAAATGAAACTTATAATACATTTTAACTAATTTCAGGTTACATCTGTTATCGATAACATTTTGTGAGGAATAAGTAACATCTGCTCCTGATATCGATAACATTTTAGGTACAGAAAACTTGAAGGGACTATCCCTAATATTCAAGGCAGCTGCCATGCTAAGAAGCTGTTGTTTTTGCTATAATTATTATTATTGTTCTTTCACTTGCAACCAATTGTTTGCGTTTGATTTTTTTTCATTCTCCAACTGTTGCTGCTTCTGCGGCTGCGGCTATTGCTATTTGTTGCACTTGTTTTACGCCCACCAAATGATGAGTTTTGACACCTGAATTATTACGGCAATTAGCCGCAGATGGCATTTGAGAGTGATTAAAGGACAGCGGGGAGAGGTGCATAATTATGCACACATGCAAACACACACACACACACACACACACACACGCACGCAAGCACACACAAAACAAATGCAACAGAATGAAAAAGGGATGGAAGAAGGGCGTGCAGCTAGAGCGGAGCAGTTGCAGCTGAAGAATTTAATCCGATTTGTAGTAAAGTAACGAGCGCGCAGATGTTGCGAGCAACGACATCGCAGAGCGTAGGGGAGGGGAGGGCCATAGAGTTAGGAAAAGCAACACACGCACACCAACACATACATACAACTACACTCGCACACACACACACACTGACACTCACGAACTGCGCGTAGTGAGAAGAAAAATATGTAAATAGATGAACCGTTGCATGCATTTGGCATTTTATTTTGGATTTTCCACAAAGCTACAAAATGCACTCACACACTTGCGTTTTCTTTGTAGATTTTCTTGAATATATATATATATATATTTTTTTTTTAGAAAGAGAAACAGAGCCAACCAGCACAATTGGAAATACATACATACACGAGACACATATACACACACGCATGCACGAACTGAGAAGTACTGAATTTTCGATCGAAAAGCACACGTCTCGCGCACTATTTTCACAGCATGTCGTTGCGTTTTTCTTAAAATTTACCTTCACGCGCTGCGTTTTTGCACTTTTCACAAATTTTCCTCCACCTCCACGCGCTGCGTTGTTTTAATTAATAATAATAGATGGACGATAGATTGTGGTGGTTACGCGATAGACTGTGCGCAGAATGTGGTGGTTAGACGATAGCTTGAATTACAGGCTTGCAGAGCGTTTAGTTATCGAAAACTATATTCAAAGTTGGCAGCGCTGAATCCTTGTAGACAACTAATAGCTGACTACTTCGAAACACATTTAATACTGGCGGGCAGCAAAATATTTAAAAATGATTGCAAAAAATTTATAAGTAAAAGGGAAATATAAAGCGTTATATTTGTGTGGTTAACTTCAACATATGATTTCCATATGTATATTCTATTGGTATTTTGATTAGAATTTTCGTAAATCTTAAAAAATTAAATATGGCTTCAATCGTTGTCTTGGTCACACAGTTTGAGCAATAATCCTAATTAAGCGCATTTTTTGCATTTTGAACGGGAAAATTATTGAAATACAATTAGTGCACACATGTACATGTTAATATATGTATTTTTATTATTTGTTTGTTGCAGTATTTGTAATATTATTTAATATTTAGTATGTTTTGTTAAAAATGAGTATTTCGGAGCTGCATTAAAACGGTCATACTGGTCACACTGCACGCAGTTCTCTGCGCGCACTTTAGTTGAGCGGCTGTTTGCGCGGTACACTAAGTTCCTTTCGCGGTCAGTTGGCATTGTTTTCGTGTATTGTCGCTATCTCAATGCTTGTTTTAACTAACAAAAAGTGTTGGCCAGTTTGAATTGCATGTAAACGGGTTGAGCTATTTATTTATTTGTGAAAATCGGTAATCGTTAGTGTTTGGCCAGCGTTGGCATCTACATATCTGCATATGCGTATATGCGTGTGCTTTTAGGTGTGAGATGGCGAAAATCAATAACAAAGCAAAGTAAATAAAACGCAGGCGAAAAGTGCATACGAAAGTGGCTGCAGCAATGCAAACAAGAAGAAGAAGAAGAAGAATAGCGGCTGTAGTGTAAACGTTCTGTTGACTGAGACAGCGAGCAGCTTTAGGCCAGGCCCAGGAGTTGTAGTTGTAGTTGTTGTTTTTGCAACAACAAATAAATACATACACACACACATACATACACACAAGTGGCGACGTGACGTGAATTTGTAAAGTGCGCCGTTATAAACGTTTTTTGTTGTTGCTGCTGCTGCGTCTGCCTTTGCATTTTGTGCGGGACTCTTGAAAACTCTGCCGCCGCCGCATTTGTTTTATGCTATATATTTTGTTGTTATGTACATATATATATTTTAATTAATTCCCATTCTGGTTCTTCAGCTGCGAATAGGGTCATAACAAAACACGCAAAAAGCGTTTTAATTCCGAGTATTTCTTCAAAAAAAAAAAAAAAAAACAATATATAAGCGTGTCTGTCTGTGCGCCTCGTGCATGTGTGTTTGTAAACAGAACAACGCGCGTGATTCATACCTTTATACACCGGGGGCAGCACAGGAAAAGTCGTCGACGACAGCGCGTATTGTTGTTGGCCAGAAAGACACGGACACGAAGCCGTCCATTGAACTGCTGCCGCTGACGACGACGACGACCACTGCTGCTGCTGCTGCTGCGACGCGACTGCGACGCAATTGCTTCCTGGCAAAACGACAACAACGGCAACAACATGGACAAAAGTGAGTATGCTGAACACAAAGAAGAAGCAGAACAGCGAACACGAAAAAACAAAACTATGAAATTCGTGCCTTGCTGCACTTTTGTTGTTGTTGCTGCTGCTGCTGCTGCTTCTTCTTCTTCTTCTGCTGGCTACGTTTTTAGGGTGGGTCCATCTTTCCCGTTTATCTATGCCTTTTGCGCTCTGCGCTTTGCGCTCACATTCGCATTGTTGGGTGTGTCTCAGGGTGGGCGTGCAAGAGTTGTATTTGTTGTTGTTGTTGCACAAGGACATTAAGACAACAAGTTTGTGCTTGTTGTTGTTGTTGTTGCTGCAACTAAATATTGCGGTACTTAAAGCTAATGTTAATGTACGCAAGGCAAAGCTTTGGATTTTCGCAAGTCAAATAAGCAAAATAAAAAGTTCTGAGACCGGTTTTACGGTTGTTTTTTTGTTAAATAAGAATTTGTTGATGATTTCATGCGGCAAAGAGTTAAGAGCGTTTTTTTTGTGCTTTTGTTTTGGCTGCGAACGTGCGGGATTTGCTGGGAAACATAATGTGAATAGTTAAGACAAAAGATTTACATTTGTAGAACAGTAATGGAAATAGAAGCAGGTAAAAAAGTGTGTTGCATAATTACCAAAGTCATGTAGAGTTGGTAAGTTTCACAAAAATACACACTTCAGAGCGTTAAGCCAGAAATTATGCGTAAAGGTAAAAAAAAAAAAAATTACCAGCAGAACATTTCCCATGAAGGTCCGAGAATGTTGGTGAATCATACGAAAATGTTGTATAAAGTGAGTATTGCAGAGTTTGGGAGATTTTATTAGATATAATAGATAATAGATGCATACACTAATCGAGATTTATTAGATCGTGATATTTTATATTTGAATGTCTAGGAAAAAAGTGCGAATTGAGGAACAAGTTCGAGTGTGTCAAAAGAGAAAATAAACTGACCAAAAAGCTTTTCATTTTATTTCTTAAAACTTGTAACTTACTTATCTAATATGCGAGGAAACATTTAAAAAAAAACAACTAACAAAAGTATGAGGCACATTTCTGCTCATGAACTCTGGTACTATCAAAGTTGCCAGCATTCTTCTTCTACCAGCAACTGCTCGCCTACGATAAAGAAGAAAACAGGAAGAGTCTCAGCTAACGGTTATTGACTATAACTATAAGTATGTACAGTCAGTCTATGGCTGCACTGATAAGGCGAGACTAAATGCCGTCGAGCGTGCAATACTAATAAATCATGGGTTTGCTTTCTTTGTCAACCTCAAGATTGCCCGAGTGTTTGTTGTTGTTGCTGATGTTGCTGATAATGTAACAGATCGGTTGCATACATACATACATATATTCATTTCAGTCCCGCATCTCACTCCCCTGCCGCCGGCTCAAGTGTATCTTTACTCAGCTCCGCAGATGATTTCTTTTGATGAGCAATTCGAGGCACACAATGGAGCTCGTCGTCGAATGGTTTTGTCTGGGCCGCATTTGCATCCCGAACAAAAGACGCCGCAGCTCTCTTCCGTTTGTTGTTGCTTTTTAAGTGATTCCATTTGAAAACTAAAAGTGAAAAAGTGAAAAATCGTTCAAATACAAAAGCGAAACAGCAGCAGGCCATAAATGCGCTGATGATGACCAACAGGAAATGCCCGAGCACACACAATAGTTGTTGCCTTTTTGTTTATGGGTAACTTAATGCCCCATACTTACGGAAAAAGAAAAATAGTATATATATTCTTGATCAGTAGTAAAAGTCGAACTCATCTAACCATGCACTCAGAGACTTTAAGAACTAGGGGCACAAAATTGAGCATGTAAACTCTAATATACTTTTTACAAAGCTCAAATTAAGTTATCGATAACTCTAAGGCATTTCTTCGAATTCGATTATTATCGATTTTTGATTTCTGGTGAAACTAGTCAGATAAATATCTTCTTATATAATTCCAACTCCAAACTGGAGGGGGTCAATTGGGGCATATAAATTGTCAGCAACTTTTCAGAAAGTTGAAATTAAACTATCGATAACTTCAAACAATTTCTCCGAATTCGATTAATATCGATTTTTAAAAATTGTCAGATAAATTGTCATAGACTTCTTTCAAAGTTCAATTTAGGTTATCGATAACTCCGACATGTTACGAATTCGATTAAAATCAATCTTTTATTTTAGGGATCAGATTACGGAGTTTGTAATAACAAATGACAGATTATTGTTTATCTTAAACAGATGACATTTATTTTATTCCTTACATATTTCGGAGATTTTAGGAACTTAAGGTACCAAATTTTTCATTTCGATTCATATTTAGTAGAAACAGATCAACAATAATTTAGTTTAATTTTGTAAATCTAAAATTTTATTCAAGAATGAATTTTGTGTGGCAAAGAGAAGTAAAGAAGAAGAAAATCTGCACATATATGCTTAACTGTGTGGCTGCAAGTACAGGGTAACTGCTAGTCGAGCAGCCGCGACTGTAGCGCATTTGTTTCTCTTCTTTGAGGTAATCACTTCGTGCAATCTTTATTTGAATACGAGTCGCTTATCAGCTGCGCCAATTGGCATTTGATAAATTGCTTGTGGCAAGCCCTGCGCCTTGTGGGCGTGGCAATTGCTTTTCTCTTCATTTCTCTCAGCTCTGCGTGGGTCGTTAGCCACTGCCAATGGCTTAAGCCATGGCCAAGCCCAAGAGCCGACTTCCTTTCATTTGCCTACGACTTCTTGACTGTCTCGGCCAAGAGTATTCACATTCACATTCGCAGTCGCAGTCGCAGTCGAGCGAATGATTCATCAGATCCACGTTGAGTTTTGTCACGCCAAGTGCGAAAACTGCGCATTGCTTCAAAATTATGCGAATTTATTAGCCCAGCCCGGGGGCCAAATGAACAATCAGCCGCATGCAAATAACTGTGAATGCATTCAATTTGCAACCGGCTTTGGACATTTGAGTCAGCTCATGAATCTTTGAATTACTCACCGTGGAACTAGTTGAATGTGCCGGCATTCAGTTTGCTCTGCGCTCGCTTATCTTATCGCCAGTTTTGGCTACTCAACTTATCAGAGCGTACAGTTTTTTTCTTCTGCTTCTTTCTCTCTCTATTTTTTTTAAACACATTTATATGGAAACATATCGAGTTTGGATGCCTTAAATACAAAACTTTTCTTGCTCAAGTTTTGACTGACACCAAAAAAAAAAACAAGTAAAATTCTTCTCGCCTTTTGAGAGTGAGTGATCGACTGGGAGATACCCTGAACTCAGCGTCAAGCGGTCTTTGCAAATATTCTATCTTCCTTCTATACAGACATACAGAAATACCCACACACATATACACACAAGCGCACGTCAGAAGCGGGAGTGCTTCTTCTTCCCTTTGCATTGCAGTTTATTTGCTTAACTTCGGTGTTTATTGTCCGATCTTTATGCAATTTTCAGCGCTTGAATATGGCATATAAAAGTGTATATACATATTTACCAAGGCGGAAGGCTCTACAGAGAAACGTTGACCTGATCAAGAATATGTATACTTTATGGGCTCGGAGATGCTTCGTTTTGCCTTTGTTTTCTTTGTATATAGACACAAGTTCTCACATAATGCAGCTACTGTGCTTCTTCTTGCCTCAGCCGCATATGTGTTTAATTTGCGAACGTGTTAAAATGTTGATTGATTAAATATGACACCACAAGGCTTAGTATACACCAACGAGTAAGAATATCTTTGGAAAAGTTTGCAATTTTAGAAAGGTTACTAATAAAATATTCTTCTACAAGTCAAATTTCCTCCTGCTGCCTGTAACATAGATGTGCATAAGACCAATATACCCTCTTTAGCTCAATTTCAATGTGTAAAGGGTATACAAAATGAAAAACTATGCCAAGTTTAGTAAATGTTTGCGCTGCTTAGGCAAACATACATCATGTAAGCATATATGTGTGCATGTGTGTGTGTATATATATATGTGTGTGTATATATCTATGTGTGCACAAATATATGTGTGCATATATATAAATGCTGCCTGCTTGATTGGGCCTCAGTTTCTCGGCCGCACGTTTTATGCTCTTTATCAGCCGATTGGGTTTAGGCGTCATTAACTCTGGCCGCAAACAGCAAGAAATGCGGGCAAGCGTCTGCCAAGCCATATAAATACAAAACACACACACACACACACACACACACACACATCGGCATATCATTGAACTGATAAGCGGCAACTGAACTCAAGGCCTCGTCTTCGTCTTCGTCTTCGTCGCGTCCTCAAGCCGCCCTTCAATGGCGCTCGACTGTCGCAATTGAAACTCAATAAGTGAAAAGTGACTGTTCTTTATACAATTTCAATTCCCAGAATTTTCCAGTGTTTTCCAAACAAATTCAATTGGCAAGAGTTGAGTCAAGCGGCATTTTGGTTACTCAATTATTGACAGATGGATTGAAGCGCTCGAGTGCTCCACTTTTCTCATTATATATGTATCTGGCAATAGAGAACGAATTGAGAATTCGAAAAAGATAAAAATGTTCTCTGCCTCTTTTTCCTTTAAAAAGACACACATTTGAGATTAATTCAATAGATGGACAAAGTTTTGCAATTATAAATTACATAAAATAAATAAAATAACTTGTTTGCTGAAATTTGCAAATTGGCAAACGGACAGAAAGTAGTTCGTGATAAAAAAAAATGTGTGCATATTTATGATAAGCTTATTAAGCATATAGCATATTTATAAGTTTTCCACATAGACACACGTCCACAAAAATATATTTAATGGAATATGCTTTATTTGGATTATTGAACTTGGCAATTTGGAAAAGCTTACTCCCGACCAGATTAGGCACAGGGTAAAATAGTTTTTACGGCTATTTGCGCTCGACTTGAAAGAGGCTATCAGGGAAATTTTCTCTTGTATATAAACCTTCATTTTCATTTAACATGCTATCTCTTAACTAATTATGTCTATAAATAACTTAGCATAAAACTTCATTAAAAAGCTGATGGAATTCCAAGTGCAATTGTT